CTGGGCGCGGGACTCCCACAATGATCTTCCCTCCGCCCCCCCCTCTCCCCCCCTGCCCTCCGCCTGCCTCTTCCCGACCGCGGGAACGCATCACCCAGCAGAGGAGGACAGGGGGGCGGCCCGGTGCAACATCTTTGGGCGACGGGCAGCGAGACTGTCCAGTGCACAGTGCTATACTGGGGCCGCCCGAGGGTCTTTTGGAATAGTCTGGGCCAAAATAGAGAGGGGGGGTGCTGGAGGTGCCACAGACTGCTGCCGAGACGCCTTTCCTACAGCAGCTCAACCATCACGGTAGGTTCGCGCGAGGCCGAAACAGACGGGGGGGGTCTGGAGGTGCCACAGACTGCTGCCGAGACGCCTCCCCTGCAAAAGCTCAGCTGTCACGGTGGGCTCGTGCGCCGTCGGCACGCGCAGGAGCTTTTGGCAATGCGCCGATCGTTCAACCTTGAAGCAATCGCGGCCCTGCTCGTTCAAGGCCGAATTCCGTCGGGTCCTGTGGCGTCACCGTGTCCCTCAGTGCTTCCGCGCCGTTCTATCATGTGGAGTTCAACCTTGAACGCCTCCGCCGGAGTCGCTGGGGCCACTGCCGCATGCGACGGTGAGGGCGCATTGGACAAAGAACCGTTGGGTAAGGAACCCAGGGTCTGGAAGCCGGTGGAGCTCCAAGCGTGGAGTGGCCATTGACACCACCGCCACCCTCATCGGACAAGGGCTCTCCCAGGGTCTGAAGCCCCTGGGCGCAGAGGAGGAGGAGGAGGAGGAGGACGAGGAGGAGGAGGAGGGGGAGGGGGAGGAGGGGGAGGGGAGGAGGAGGAGGAGGAGGAGGAGGAGGAGGAGGAGAGGAGGAGGAGGAGAGGAGGAGGAGGAGGAGGAGCAGGATCAGGAGGAGGAGGAGGAGGAATCTCCCAGGGTCTGAGGCCCCCCAGGGCGCAATCCTCAGCGAACGCCCCCACCAGGCTCAGCACGAGCACTGCTCCCCCGCCTCTCTCCCTGGGCACTCCGCGAGCGCCCTGCCTAGGGGGCCACATGCGAACCCTACCCCTACCCCCCACGACTTCTGAACCCCACCCTCCCCCGCAGGAATCGTGGGGGGTAGGGGGAGGGTTCGCACGTGGCCCCCTACTGCCGCCTCTCCCGCACACCGCGTTGCCCCTCTCTCCCTGGGCACTCCGCGAGCACCCTGCCGCCTCTCCCGCACACCGTGTTTAGACACCTCCTAGATGGGGTCGGAGTAGACGGGTTCGGAGGATTGCGCCGCATCGCCGATGCATCGTCGATGCATCGCCGACGTCGCCGATGTGAAAAGCGAGCTCCGCATCGACGATGCATCGCCGTCAGGATGCATCTATGAGGCCTAGAGTGTTGCACCGTCAGGATGTGGTACATCTTCTATTGGCGACGGCAGAGGTCCCTGGTGCTCAGGGGAAGAAGCCCCAACCCACTCGCGCTGTGAAAAAAACACGACGGGAAATTGCTCGTTACTTTCGGCCCCGGTGGCTTTTACTGGGCCTCAGGACCGTCAGAAAACGACTCAGGCTGAAAACCGGTACCGGGGAAGAGGTCCATACCTCTGGGGTCCGACGCTGTGAAAAAATCACGATGCCAGGGGTCTGGGAAAGGCACCGATACCGCTGCCCTTGCCCCGTCTTCACCTCTCTGGGCCTCCGAGGAGGCCCTCGTCGCCATGGCCGGATCCTCCTTGACATTCTGGTCAGAACGCACCCAGGCAGAGTCTGGTGAGCAGCGGTATTTTGGCGGCTCGCACACAGGGGGTAGGGGGAAGGGGGGAAGGCTTCTTAGAAGGACGCTGCTCCTTGCAGGCGCCGGCCCCACATCTATAGACAAGGCCCGCGCCTTCCAAGAAGCAGGGGTGCCTCTGAGAAGCCTTCCCCCCTCTCCGCCTACCGTCCTCTGCGCGTGGCCGATTCTGAACGCTTCCGTCAAGGCTCCCCCCCGATCCCTGCAAGGATCTTCGCCCTGTGAGGGCCCCACTGGGCCTCTGTAAACGCCTCCCATTTATTGTGAGCACCCCTCCCCGCTCCACTTTCAATTCGCCTTCCAGACAGTTTTACATGACCCCTCAGGCTCTTCAGGGACCCCCCAGAACCGTTCAAGAAGCCCCAGGGCCCTTGAGGATCTCTGGAGGGGTCTCGGGGGGCCCCCTGAGGGCTCTTAAAGATTTCTGGGGGGCCCCCGGCTAAGGACCCTTAGTGGTCTCTGGAGTGGTGGGAGACAACGTTCAGCGATTCTGGGAGCCAAAATGCACACGTGATGGAACTTACAAGCTCTCTGGGACCGATTCCAGAAAATCGGTCTCAGTGCGACGTTGCCCCTCTCGCGTCCCTCTTCTCCTTCCCTCCTCCTCCTCTTCACCCTCCTTCTCCCTCCTCCTCCTCCGCCCCTCCTCCTTCTCCTCCTCTAGTCCCCTCCTCCTCCACTCCTCCTCCTCCTCCTCCTCCTCCTCCTCCTCCTCCTCCTCCTCCTCCTCCTCCTCCTCCTCCTCCTCCTCCTCTTCCCTCCCCCTCCTCCCCTTCCTCCTCACGATAGCCTGCGCATCAGATGGAGCAAATCGCTGAGACATCTGACTACGCCCCCCGCCCGTCGGAAAGAACTGGGGTTGTGTGTCGGTCTGGCGGCTATGTTGTCACCGCCGCCGTCCCGTCGCCTCCTCGTCGCCGCCCGTCGGCTGGGCCTGATTGTCGGTCTTGCGGCTATGTTGTCTCCGCCGCCGCCGCCTTGTCGACGTTTCGTCGCGGCCTCGCAGAATTCACTTTTCAAGAAAACATCGATGAGGATCTACCACCCACCCACCCCTGGGATAATCGCCCGTTTTTTTGCATTGCAAGTTAGATACGAGTCTGTCCCATGGTCCGCCCTAGATACGAACCACCTCATCCCAGCCGAACCGGCCGGCATCGACCCCCCCCCCCGCCATCCTCTGCAAATGATACGTTATGCGCGCGCACTCGTTTATCAGAACTCATCCGTTTTCAAAAATCCGCTGCAACAGAAAAGACGAAGTGCACATGCGCGCGTCGTCGCGCGCATGCCGGAGTCCTCCAACACACCCTCGGTTATGTGAATATGTTTTAATCGAGGGCACCGAACACCGTGTGCGTTGTGCCTCGTACCTCGTGCCCTTCCGCTCCTTGCACTGGATCATCCGCTGTCGATCAAGATCGATTTCGTCCATGAGTTGCTGTTTCCGATTACGCTGCGCTTCTTCAGCTGGAGGCGGTGTCAGCGCGCTTGGCGGTCCAGCATGTCCCAGCACTTCGGGGTGCGTCGGCGGTGCTTCCGCGGTAGGCCCTGGCCCAGCGGCTTCGGCAGGTGGACTTGCTAGTTCGGGTAGTGCTGTAGAGCTGGTGAGTCATGTGCCCTGTCCTCGGATACCTCGCTGAATATGGGATCCTCATCTCGAGGTCCGAGCTGTAGTCCTCGGCGTCTAGCAGGTGCTGGTAGCGATCGAACGCATCGATGCGCCAGTGATCGCGGCGGCGACGTCGGCGCTGGCATGCTGCCCCCCAATTGAACGTCCTCGTCCGCTGCGCCCCTTGCGTCGCCAACCTGATTAGGGGGTGGCCCCCGCTCGTCCACCAAACCGCGTTGCATGGTATGACCACCCCTCCATTGCCTAGCTGCTTTCCTATAGGTCCTCATTCTCGCTCATCTCCAGCTCGGCTCGGCTCGCGCGTCAAAGCTGCTTAGATGCAATCAGCGCTGGTGCTCCACAGTGCGACGCGCGTAACCTGGCATGTCCTTTTTGGGCCAAGATGATGACTGGTCCTCTCCAGCCATGTTCACCTGCAGTCGCTTCGATTTCAGGCGCTTCACCTCGCGCCAGTAGAAGCCCACCTGACCGGGTAGGAATGGTCATCGCTGCCGAACTCGCCCGAGAGCAGCTCGCCGAACCGCGCCGTCGCTGCCCAGCGTGTCCAACTCGAAAAATGATCGGATGATCGGTTGGTATCTGCGCGAAATGTGCCCTGCCCGTCGGGGCCCCGACCCAGATGGCGCGGCGCTCTGCGCCGAGAGCTTCGCCTCGTCGCCCCCCATCGTCTCGGCGATTAGGCGCGCCGGCCGACCGCCCAAGCGCGCGCTGGTAGGGCGCGAAGCCGTTCCGTCTGATATGGCGGTTGCAGGCGTTGGCCAAAATGGCCGTCCACTGGCTGGGTCGTCCTCTTTGGTAATCTGGAGCTCGCTGCTCACCTTCTGATAAAAAAGTAATGGACAAATCGACGGCTCTCTCCGCCCCGCCATTGAGGCGGGTGTGGCCTCCGCCGGTTTCGGTCGCGTGAGAATGGCGCGTCCGTCGCTGACCTCAGCGAACGCCTTCGCGACGCGGCCCTTCGCCGAGTCGGAATGGAGCGTCTCGGGCGGACCTGCCCATGGTGGCCAGCCCTACGCGAAGCACTTCAGCGCCTCGCGCTGGCGATAAATCGAAACGCGCTCGTCGGGATGGCGGCCCCGATGCTCGAGGCGTCGTCGATGATGACAATTGCCATTAGCATGGCGCCGTCTGCGAGCATGACCTCGGCCTCGTCAAGGAGCGCGGTCGCATTGACCTCCGTGGCCAGCTTCAAATGCGCTGCGCGCGCCCTCGTAGGTCCGCTGAGCCCCAGACACGTTGAATACTCCAACTTGACCACTGCATCGAGCACCTCGGCCGTCGCGTCGCGAGTCTTGAGCCGTCTCTGAATCGCGTGCGCCGACGGATAGCTTAGGTTGAAGCAAAGCCTCTGCAGTGCTGACCACTGTGCCTCACTGATCATTTCTGGCTTCGCCCCGAACCATTCGCCGTCGCTCTCTGGGCTCTGGCGCGCAGCATCAGCGTCGCGTTTGTCAGCCCGCGTCTTGATGGCGCATGCGTTCGCGGTCTGACGAATCGCTGGATACGACATCTGAACCTTCGGCTCCTCGCGTAGATTGCAATCAAGACGTGGCTGCCCAGCCGCGCCACTTCTGGGGGCTTGCTGACGTGGTCGCGCCCTCTCCACGCG